AAATCGTTGGATTTTAGCATAATTTGATGGAAAAGTATGGAAAGAATGAGTCAAGAACTCAATGATTATCCCTTTCCTCATTTATTATTCGGTCTTGATAAGTGTCTCAGTGGCTGTTGAATGAATATCTTGGTGTTTCCTTTATCGACAAGACGGTTATTGTTTCTCTCGATGGCTAACAGTGACAGTGAAATGTCGCGCTTTCATCTATTTGAGACAAGTAAACTGAGTGTATTCGTCGCAATTGCAGGTCAGATCAGTTCAAGCCGGACAAAATTCAGTCTATCGATCAATTTAATACCATCCAATACTTTATACACTAGGCTTTCATCAGACACCATATTAGCGTAGCTCCAAGTTGCATTTACAGTTTCATTTTCACCAAATAATCTACAGATTTAAGATTTAATATTACTCAACCTATTAATCTGACCTGATTGTATATTCAGTTCCCAACAATGTTGTTTGATTTATTTTCGTCCAATTGAGTATTGTTTACGTTTGCAGTCTTCTTCGTCCTGGACTTTAGGAAAGTCGTCTCGCAAATGGTAGACAGTGAGAAAACAATGGATTTGTGCAAATTTATTCGAACCCACAGTTTTCATCATAACTTGACCACCTTATAGTATGAAGATTTTGTGCTGTCCTACCCAATTTTCAGTGGTACTCTGACTTATATATAATCTAAGAGCTATCACATCCCATTCATTGACAACAATAGCATATATGACCTCATTGGTTCAAATGTACATCGGCGCATTTGCTGAATATTGTACTCATAGCTTTTGATGAACGAAATACAGTGTCCGGCTGTGTCAATTTCATGATATAAAAGACGACGAACCTCATGAAAATCCGAGTCCGAAAATTAATGTTATTTCAGTCATCTAAACGTCCTCAGACCACTACAAAGAGCCACATACTAGCGCAGTTAGTAAAACTAGTAATTAATGATAATTTCATAAATTCTGCGTGATTTATTCGCATGCAAGTGTGTCGTGTTGTTCTCGAATTATTGACAATTTAATCATTAATAATATCAAATATATCACACAGTTCACATTCTCAACTCTTTATGTAATTTATAAACATAATTTGGGTTATCAGAAACAAACTAAGACGGTACCTGTAACTTTGAATCATTAATAGTTCAATAGCATTTACGCATATCATTATAGTAACTAAAACTAAATTCAGTTCACGAAAAAATTAAGTAAATAACCCCTTTGTAACCAAATTGCAGATATAGTCTCTCATCAACCTAGCAATAAAGAGTTTCATAAGTCGTTGCGTTTTGATAGTGTATTCAGAAAGCTATATGTTGAGATGAACTGATTTGTAAATATGGAGTACAGCAAATATATTTAATATGATTACCATACTACTTAAACTTTGAGAGTAGCTAAAACCATTAGCTGAAATTGCATGACATATTTTGAAAGAACCATTTCAACACAGAATCTAAGTAATTATGAGTCCCCACATTCAGTAAAATATGATGTCTGAACAAAAAAAGCAAACCTCATCGTCAATGGCAGGAAGCTTTGACATTCTGTGTAGCTGAAACATTGTAATTCTACTGTATACAGACACAGTAACCAATCATGACATGCATTTACTCTGATTAGTCAGTCAATCAAGAACGTAAAGCACGATGCAATTAGAAGAGATAATAAATCTTCAGATTTTAACTGAGCAGTCATAATGTATTGTTTACCCAGGCTAATTTTACACTCAAGCGGCCCACAGTTTAATTAACTAATAACATTTGAGCTTTCAAGAAAAATTACGTCGCTATTTCTTCCTGTATTTATATACGCACATGACTAACTCGAACCTTTAAAAAGAGTAGTGCATATAAAAAGATTAGCACGAATTACAGGGAAAACTGGAACTACCAAAACAACAAACAAGTTCCCAAGAATAATTTTTTTAAGTGGATACCACTCTGGCACATGAGAAGCAAAACTCGTCATTGACTTGTTAAAGAGTGAAACTGTACAATACTTATAATAAATTCAAATTACTGTGATAACGGTTCGTCAAATAGGTATCACGGTGTTTTTGATAAGTACTGCAAGACAAATGAAAACTTTATCACTAAGACGATTTACTATGTGTTGTGTATTCTAGTGTACACAATGACGTATACATGTATTCGTCCTTGTAAACGCACTAGTTATATATGTGGAAAAACGAAAAACGACTTTCCGCAGGTTCCTTTTTTAATCAAAATAAGAAGTCGTAAAGCAGAAAAAATATTTGCATACAATGCAATTGTGAACTCGAGAATTATTCAAAGAAAACAGAGAATACATTGTTAACAATACAATCAATCTCACACAAATAGATAAGCATAATTCCTATAACGATAACAGTAACTAGGGTACTTGGACAACGAGAACGAACAACCAACTTACTCTACATACTAGAATCTAAATAAGATTATTAAAAAAGAACGATCGACTAAAAATCAACTGAGCTATTTATTCATTATTATACAAGTACACAGTTGACGCGTAGTATTGAAAAAAAATAACACTTCAACTAATTTCAATCATTTAGGTTTTGTTTGTTTGTTAATTTTTCAAGACGCGATGACATGTAACACACTTACTGCCTATTTACAGTAAGGCTGAAAAAAAGGACACAGAGCGATGGAGTAAAAGTTCAATTGAACATAGTAGTTATACTCGTTTTTACAAATAAGTATATAGAGATAAATTGAAACACAAATGATCCGAACGAAACATAACGAAAGAAAATAATCGAGCACAAAAAAACAGAAGACTATAGTAAAGAAATTTTATTTACAAAATTACATACAAATTTATAATTAAAAAAAAAGCAAAACAAGACACTTGAAATTAATCAGTTTTTGTCTTTGGGAAAGGAAAAACGAAACGAAACGAAACAAAAAAAGGAAAGAAAGCATGAACCATAATTTTCTGGTTTTGAATTGAACAAGAAATGCACTTAGAAAATATAAACAATACATATGTATATAATAATTGCAATAAAATAAATAAATATACACTGTACACTTAAATTTACCAGGTTTAAAAATAAAAGAAGCATAAATGACTTTTTTTAAATGAAAAAAAGGAGAAAAAAATTATAAAACATTGTTGTATCCTCCTAAGTTACTGATCGTTATATATACGTTGTTATATTTATGATGAGTAAGTGAAAAATGGAACAGATAAATGTGGTTAAAATTAAGTAAACAAACGAAAAGAAGCGATTTCTTTTAATAAAAAAAAGGTTGCAAAATCTAATCAATTATGATAAACAAATTAAAAGTTAATTGTATTTAAATGTATATGTATATAATTGCTTGATAATTTAAACAGATTCGATCAACCTTTGGACAAAAACTATGACAATTTTAAAAGATGGAAGAAGTTTAAAAATTATGTACAAAAGATACAGACTACAAATTTCCTGAGTACGTTGACTTTTGTTTTCTAAGGAATATTAGATGAATACCTGCCAAATACATATTAAGAAAAAGTAAAAAAAAATGGCGGAATTAAAGAAAAACGATCAACTATACCAAAACAAATTTTATATATATATATATATATAACAAGTTTAGGAAGTCAATTCTTAATTATTTTGAAGTAGAAAGTTGTGAACACATGATTTGGTATAATTTAGAAAATTTATTTCAAAAGTATTCAGCAACAACTTTATATCAGATTTAATTATAAATTTTAGTGATCAGGAAACATCAAAACAGTTTGAGATAATACGTTGAAATGAAGTAGTTTGATAGTAATTAATTTATATTCATCGTTCTATGTTAACAGTACATAACCAAATCACGTTTCAATTTATTGATTATGTGAGTTATAATTTCTCAATGAAAAGAAGTAGAAAATTTTGTACCATCTGCAAATGCGTTAGTGTACACTGTAGAAAAGTTCTTAACGAAAATCCTCATAAATAGATCTTCATTTGCAGCTGATTTTTAAAAATCAATCCACGATTAATCATGAGGTTAATAGTTGGAGTGTTCAACATTCAGCTACTAAATCACAGGTTTGATACCCCGTTTCAACTTTTTCGGTATGAACAATTAACATCTATAATCAACCTTGATACTTGGAGAGTAGCACGAAGTCTGTACTCGGTAAATGAGTTATAAAAAATAATGATCCACAATGGAACTAACTGACTAGGTTTGAAAGTTATGCTTAATCCAGTCCATTAGAGGAGTAAAAATCAGCTATTTTAAGTTACAATGTTTTCAAACTTTCACAATGAACAACACATTTGATCAGTAAATATTACAAATTACATGTGTTAACACAGAGTAAGTGATTTGATATAATCTAATGGATCCATTCTAAGATGTAAATTTATCTCAAACTATGATTAACAATTAGGAAAAAGAACACTAACTTATTTCCAATAACTCTATTTATTTCAATTTTATGAAATTCTGCTTCAGGCTAATTATTTTAATGAAACGGCTAAATTGAATATCATAATATTACACGATGTATATTCCAGATTCCGTATATTTGTAAATAAAATTGTCTATGAAATCTATCCTGAGTGATTAACCAATTTACTAAAAACAGATTCGTGTACTTCAATTTCAGTAGCACTTTAAGTGTGAGAGCTAGCGATACTAACCGCTTGGGTAAACCAAGATAGGAGAAGAGTTCAAACCTACGATTTAATAGCTGAGACAACACTCTAAGTATCCCTCGACATACAAAAAACAAATCGTTCCAGTCAACATTTCAAAAATTTGTGTGTATTAAATACCTAAAATTATTCATGAATAATCATATTCAGAGGCAAACGAACATTAAATTGGAAGGAGAAAAACGACCTGTTCATCTACCTGAAAATAATTGAATTAGAAATAAAATGTAAAAAGCATTTCTTTCGAGATTGAAACTTGATTGAAATTAGTAAACCTGAGGAGAATAATAAAGAAGAACGACACAAAACTGTGATGATAACAATTATTGATATGATTTCTATTACGATTTGGATAAAGAAACATTGAAGTTCTGTTGTGAATTACTGGTACAAGGAATTGAACAATGATTACGATGACAATAATGATTGATTGATTGACTCAAGCCGAAATATTTCACGTTTTTCTCTGAACTGGAAATTTGTTTTAAAGGGAGAAAATTTGTTTTAAGATTCAAAAATAAACAGATGGCATATTCAATAATGCTGAAATATCAACGTTGAAGAAAAAAGCTACAAAATTAAAATCTTTAAAAAATCGTTTCTTAGGCGTTTAAAATCTCGTTGAGGAAAACTAGGACTCATTGTATGGAACATAATTTAGAGATATGTAGATGATATTCGTATCTCCGCCTGTAGCTCTTCTAGAGTTACTGCCGAACCCAAGCCCGGGTAAAGGACGAGGGTTGGGCAAGAGGTCGGCAACCCCATCACGTACAAAAAAGCTCGAAATGGTCATTAGTGTTTTACAGACTTTACAAATCATAGTTATTTATCAGCAACATGTTTAAGCTATTAGCTTACATATTTTGGTTTAAAAGAACGACCTTCCATAAAAAAATTATACGTAAACGGAATAACATTATAATTTTTACAAAACCATTTAAACTGTGCCCTCCGAGCTCAAGGAAGAATTATGCCTCATGGTGAGATACAAAATTCTTCGGAAGTCACGAGGTCGATACCCCTTGTAACAACCAGGGAAACAATTTTTATGGGAACATAGAACGCCCGAACAATGCGGAACACCGAAAGGATCAGTCAAATAGCTACAGAAATGAGGAGATACAACTTGACGGTTCTCGGAAACATTGAAACCGAATGGATACAAGTTGGGAGGAAAAGGTGATATACGGGAGAGATGCTGCTTTACTCCGGTCATGAAGAGGGCAATGCTCCACACAATCAGGCAGTTGCTCTAGTGCTGTCCGAAGAAGCACGAAATGCAGTCACAGGATCCAGAATCATCAAAGTATCCTTCAAAACAAAGGAGGGAATCCCGATCAATGTTATGAACCCACTAATGATAGCAATATAGACAATAAAAGTCAGTTCTACTCGAGGATACAATCAATCATAGAGAAGTGCCCAAAAAAGGATCTCATCATCCTGATGGGAGACCTGAACGCCAAAGTCGGAATGGACAAAACCGGGTATGAAGATATCATGGGACGACATGGACTGGGGACTGAGAGAAACGAATGAGAACGGTGACAGATTTACAAGTTTATGTGCAACCAACAAATTGGTCATTGGCGGCACAATATTCCTACACAAACTCACATGGAGTATCAGGTCGATCATATTTGCACCACCGAAAAATTCAGAAACTCAATGGAAGATTTGAGAACCAGGAGAGGAGCTGACATAATTTCAGATCATCACCTGGTTGTAACCAAGATGAAACTGAAGCTAAAGAAATACTGAATAACTGCATGAACAACATTAAAAAGGTTCGATACAGCCTTTCTTCGAGATAGTATCAAACTCAACGAATTCAAGATAAATCTCAACAACAGATTCCAAGCCTTGCAGGATCTACTCAAGGAAGAGAAAACTACTGGTTAGTACAAGTGGAAAGGAATCAAAGAAACACCATCAGGAGGTGCTGGGCCTCAAGAAGCATCACCGTAAGCAATGAATCTCTATTAAAACCCTGAAGAAGATTTAAGAAGGGAAGAACAAGAAGACAGCAACTAAAACAGCCTAACAAGAACAGAGAAAGCCAAAACGCAGGCCAAACACAGCGAAGCAAACAAGCTGACAAGCAGAAATACGTGGAAGAACTAGCAACGACAGTGGAAAAAGCTGCAACAGAAGGAAATATGAAACGGCTATATGACACAACAGAGAAACTAACAGGGAAATATATTAAACCCGAGAGACCGGTCAAGGATAGAGAAGGCAAGACAATCACCGGGATTCGAGAACAGAGGAACAGATGGGCAGAATACTTCGAGAAACTCTTGAATAGGATAACTCCATTGAATCAACCGGACATTGATGCAGCACACACAGACCTTTCCCACAGATGTCTCTCCATCAACGATCGAAGAAATCAATTGTGGACAAACCAGGTTCCAGCTGAAGAGAAAATAAAGAAAAGACGTTGGAAATGGGTAGGATACATATTGAGGAAATCACCAAACCGTATCACGAAGCAAGCCCTAACTTGGAATCGTGAAGGGAAACGGAAAAGAGGAAGGCCGAAGAACACACTGCGCCGAGAATTGGAAGCAGGCATGAAAGGATTGCCCAGGACAGGCTTAGATGGAGAATGCTGGTGGGTCAATAAATAATAGTTCTGATGTGTAAAGATATCGTCATTAATCACTTACCAATCTCTGCTATTATTAGATTGACTGTTTTCACTTTTACTTTTTGATTCTTATTGTGTTTCAGTCATATTTCTTGTCATGTGAATAAAGCTGTTCTATCGTAGCTTTGAAATTTTACATATCAAGCTTATCCCTGAGTCACTGATCTCTTGGTCTTCAATCGCACAGGAGATTATCATTGAATTGTTGTTTAATAACTAGTTGGTCTACCTAGTTCGCTTAAAACTCACCCTGTATTCACGGAATCAAATTACCACAAGCTATCGCAAAAAAGTACAACCAAAAGCTAGAAAGCACTAGACGCCTATTTAATTTTGGTCTGAGTATTCCTTAGTAGTACATACCCACGACAGATTTAAAGATTGGACTAATAATATTCAAGTACTTAAGTGGACATGCTACATTTCAACCACTTAGTTATAATCAAATGATCTCCACTTCTAAATTTAATTAGCTGAGGGTATAGAGCGAATTATTCAACTAAGTTTCTGCCGACAATAGAACAATAGCAAAAAACAGAAGAAATGAGAACTGGCAAACTTAACACTGATCACTTACTTGTTATTATAGCTAGTAATCATTGCAGGGTGAATAAATGATGATGAAAGTGATTGTTGCGGTTGATTAAAACAACATGAATTTGAACGAGGATGACGACGTCTAGTGTGAAGAACTAAATTAGGACATGGGTGATTATCGTACATGTTTGTTATATAATTATTACTATAATTATGATTATTACTACTATTATTATCATCATGCACTTCATTCACATTGACAATATCCGGAGATGGTGGAGTGAGTAGACCAGGATCATAATTTGGTATAGTTGATGTAAACATAATATTTGATGGATATTGTTGATGATGATAATTTTCACTCATCATCATATGGTCCACATTGACAAATATATTCGATGAACAAGAATTAGCACATGGATTACAGTGATTCTGACAATGATAACAATGAGTTGGATTAGAATGTGTATCAAGTTGTTGATGCATTGATTGGTATTTTTCATTATTATTTGTACATAAATTAAATTCTCTATTAGGAACTACAATAATTGGATTTGTTTTATCAGCATTACCATTTACATGAACATTATTATTAATTGCATCAATATGATATGAAGAATGAGATACAATGGGATTCTGATGTGAATACGAACAGAATTCAGTAGAATGAGGATATTCAGACAGATTGGTTATTGGATTTTTGTCACAAGGTAAAACAGATTCATCTGTAGTTAAATAAATAATTCCAGAAAAAAATAAGCGAAAGTTCGAATTTCCCAGAAAATAATATCGGAAAACATGAATGAACATTATATTAATCGACTATTAAATGGTTATTGAATGAAAGAATAAATAAATGTACAAAAAATTTATCTAAATAGTAATAATAGTGAAGTTTACATTAAACTAATTTATACTACACAAAACATTAAATTGTTTTATACTTTTCTTTAAAGGATATAAACAAGACGTTTGATTTTGGTGAATAAAGTATTTTAACTCTTCATATTATATACATATGTAATGATTAGTGTCGCACTTCACTCAGTCATTAACTTAACTTCACTAAAGATATATAAACTTAAGTGATTTCTGAAGCTGATAAAACCTAAAGACTAGTTCTGTGATTCTTCATTAATTGGATTAAATAAGAAACTGACGATTAGAGACTTTAGTCTAAATGGCTCAGAATCGTTCACTATTGTGTATTTGATTTTATTCTTTGTGTTCTTTTAGAACCTGAATCCCGAAATACACTCATACTTTTTTTTCTCTTTCTATACCTAACTCGTTGCAACTTCTACTACTCTGGGATTTGCTTTGATAATTTTATCGCGTTGTGCTTATGTGGCAAGACAATTTAAACCTATGCAGATGTGTTATGTTCTGCGTTGCATGTGACTAACTTGATCGGATCAAAATGATTCTTTTTGTTATCTTACATATTGTACTTATTGATACTCATATATTATATTAATTTCTCATGTTAAACAATATTTGTAACAATCGGCTGATAAAATTATGAAGAGAAACAGTTTATGAACTTAACAAGTTTAAGAATAAGATAACAGATATAAAACGTGGGGTATTAGAAATCCTAATAAGTCATGCGTAATATTAGAAAATACTGTCGACAAATACTTCGTGTAAGGTTAACTACTAACGGATGATTTTATTCGAAAAATAAACGACTACACAGAAAAATCATTAGACCATTTTAATATGACTCTATCATTATAATATGAAGATGTAAATTTAGTAGTTTCTGTCCAGTAGAAGGCTTCGCATGGTGAAAGCACTCAAAACTTCAATAACTAAGTTGTTAACGAGATTTTAAAAAATATGACACCTGTTCTGGTTAAAGCAGTTGAATAGTATTGTCATTATTAGTCTTCATTAAGTAAGTGGTAACTTGTTCTACACTTACGGACAATTATTCTCACTGAGACAAATCGTAATAATTAGACAGAATGTAACAAATGATTCATTTTCATCTTACTACTTATGCACATCATTAGTTGTAAACTTTTAACCATGTACCTTTTTCTGTGTAGGATTGTATATACGTACGTCTATTGAACAATAACCTTATTCAGTCATTTATTCTAAACCATATCAACTCACTCAAAGACTTGGGATGTATTCGGCTCAGGTCGATATCAATATTGCTCACTTCTGGTTTTTCCGCTGATATATTTGAATTAAATACAAACAAGTCAATACAATTTATTATCGGACTGTTTTCTATCACATTTTCGAAATCTCATGATGTGATTCGAATACAAAACTATGCATTGGATTTAATTAATTCCATTAAACTTGATAAGCCAAATGATTCGATTATTAAATGTTCAAGAGTTACATAATCGAACTGTCTATAAGTACTAAAATACAATTATTGAGTGAGCAGAACCATAATCACTCACTCAAACAGTACCGGTTATTATTCACAACCTCATACATAAACATAGGTGTTGACGAATAATAACAAATAGAACAGTAACAGGAAAAATTAAACAATATGCAACATTACACAGAATATAAGAAAAAATAAAACTACAAGGGAATACTTTGACGCGAATGCGAGAGAAAAAAAAAGAGAGAGAGAGAGGAAAGTTATATAATTAACAGTAAGTATTCACCTAAATTACAAAAACAACAGGGAAAAATTAAAACAAGTATCCATTCAATGTTACATTACATGAAAAACGTAGAGTAAGAAAAGAGAAGTACAAGATATGAAAATAAAATTTAAAAACTTGTGACAGGATTCACAATGACAATTGAAACAAAACACACACACACAGATGTACATTTATTAAAATACAAATACAAAAGAAAGAAAACTAGTTACACAAGACAATCTCATATATTAAGTCAGGGTAGTCTATGAAGAATAAAAAGAGGGAAAAGGTCAACAATTCTTACGTAATCACAAACTACTAATAATTCTTATTAGTTCCAATATATAATGTTGCATACTTAAAACACAATATGTATAAAGCCTAAGATGTTTGGAATTGTGAATACGAAATATTTCTCTATATAAAAGACAATTGATATTGTACATTGAAGAAAGTACATATACAGATTGAAATAATAAAAGGTTGTAAAATGAACATGAATAAAAAAAAGAAAAAATATATACTATCACATTCTAGAGAAAATACCGTCACATAACTGATGAAGAAGATAATGAAAAATTGAATGAAAAGCAAGAGAGAGAGAGAGAGAACAATAAGAACATATTAACAACCATGAAAAAAAATTATTCCAGTGTGATAAGAATGAATAGAAAACAGTTGTTAGCGTCAACTTCAATTAGTTGTAATTCAAACTCAAATTTTAAAAAGTTAGAAAATGAAACAACCTAATTCTACAGAGTTACAAGAAATTCTCCTTCTACAAATCAATGAATCTTTTCAACAATAACTGACAATCATCTAGTTTTGTGTATGATACAGGAAAAAAATATGTAAGAATGTTTGACAGAATAACTGCAGTAAACTATAAACATTGGCAGTTTAGTGGAATAAGATAGCAAAAAAAAGTTAATAAACTGAGTATTGATCATTTTGCTTGAGCGACAGAAACAATTGTAAAAGACTTTGATACTGGTTTAACAACTATGAATAAGACCTAGATTATTTGCTTTTGATAATTATAAAAATAATCAATGATATCCAGATGGGAATTAGAAACAAACGTTGATGTCACTTGATCATTTCGAACACAAAAGTTGAACAAATAATGATAAAACTATTCTTTCATTTAATTTTATAACACACCTGTAAAGCGACTAGATGGGTAAGGTTAAACCTCAAGTAATGAATAAAAAGTATTAATTATAAAGTGTATGGTGGTTAAAAGAAACTAGACTATTACATAGCATAATTCAATAGATCCACAACCAATTTGTACACTAGGATTGTAAATAAAGAAATGTATCCAAGATTTTGTGTAGCAGAATGTAAAAGTAGACAATAATGAAAAATGCAATTTAGATTTCTAATGAAGATGCTATTCTATTTACTCAAATAAACAAGAATTGTACAAAAAATATCACTTAAATGGATATTCTAGAACACCATGAACTTACTCCATCTCTATGAACTAAAATAGTATTTAACATAAACAATCTCAAATAATATGCTCGAAATTTAATCAATAAATGATTTGCCTTACACCTTCAAGTATGCTACATACTATTTTCTGTCGAGCAAAAAGAGTAAGATTTGAGAAAACAGAAATATTCAAGTGAAATCTTACTCAAGAATAAATGTGCAAACAGATAGATAAATAATGAATAATTAAACGATGAAAAAAAATATTAATAAACAATCATTCTTACCATCAGTACCGTCATGCACTGAACCGCCACTTGGTGGTTCACGTTTTAAACCATTTAATATTGCAGATTGTAGTAAATAATTTGACATTTCATGATTGGTTAAGTTATCTATACGATTTGCTGTACCGATAGACTTATTGGAAGATACTCCAACAGTAACAGAAGTTCTTGTTGACGATGATGTTGTTAATAATAAGTGAGACTTTGGAAATGAATTATTCACAACAACATTATGACCTTTACAATTCATCATTGTATGAAACACAGGAGAAGATGAAAGAGATGTTACTGCTGATGGTAGGTTATTCGGATAGAAATTAGATGAAGTTACGAAAACAGATTTAGACATATCTATACATTGACGAGGATTATAAATACTATCACTGTCTAACATCAAACTTTTTAACTCGAAATTTTCATTCCTAGTCAAATATTTAAATGATGATGTTGGTAAATGTGAAGGTGGCGGAGGTGCAGGACTCATAGGTGGTGGTCGAGAACGTTGATGTGGTAAATTTGTTCTGTCATTTACATCAGCCATTTGATTCCCACAAGAAGTAATAGATGAAGTCATCAAGTTAGCAGTGTTGTGGATGCGGAAGAATAGACCAATAATTATCATGTTAAGTCCAGTGGTGTCCTTGGACTTTAAATGTACATTCCCTATTGGCTATTATTTAATTCATTCGTTACATATTGCGTAAATGTTGTTTACTATTTTTATGGTACGCTGTGGTATGCTTGACTAGTATATAAACAAAGTATGTTTGAAATATAGTGATTCATATCTCAGAGGGTGTGACTTGTGTTCTGGACTCAACTAACTGGGCTAGACAGGGAAGCGGGACCAATAGAGACTCTAGGCCGTCCGTACGTGTTTTCCGTGTCACTCTACCGAATCGATCAATAAACGCTGCTTATCAAACCCTGCAGTCTCACAACTTAAATTCATAACAATTGGCGACGGGGTGGAGAAAAATTTTGAACCTTGTAATTGGACGAGATTCAGGTTAATTGTTTCGACCAATCAGCATCCAGATTGTCACCAGCGTCCTTGAGCAACATTGGTCATTATTCCTACAGTTAATTTTCATTGCAGGTGCTGAAAAAAAAATGACTACCTTTTCCGATCGATTACAGCTTCTACTTGAGCAACAACAGCAGTGCTTCAAAAATAGCCAGTTAAATTTTTTAGAAAATTTACGCACACTGTTGGTAAATGTTCCATGTTTCGGAGGTGCAACAGAAGTTGGTAAATTCATTTCTCATCTGCAGACTGAGCTGGAAAACAACTGCAGAACATATGAAGCTGTTTATAAAAGCCTCTGTGAATCCCGGACGACCAGTGATGTAAACGAGACAGTTATTCATGGTCCGCCCAGTTGTCCAGAAATGTCAAATTCCGAAACGTTCCCTGTCGTGGGTTCAAATCCCACTGTTCCTGAAACGTGTACAGACAGTGATGTACCCAGCTCACAGGAGGATCTCTTATTAAATGCTCATAAATTAATTGCAGTACCCGCCCACAACGGAACAGGGAACAAATCGTGCGGTACACTGAATCCAGCTGTTTCAAATGGTCCTCATCATTCAACAACAGGAGATTCTGACGAATCTTATTATCTAGATCTTTTTGTACCAGAAAATGTGTTAAATGCATTAAATGATGATCAGAAATCTAATACAATTTTGATAGATGTTGATTATCGCAGTGATCAACTGTTTACAAATGAGATTTTCAACAAATCCCGTGACAATGTTCCAGAAGAATCAAACGTTGGTGACCTCATATCAAGCGACATTGTTCCCCACTATTTAATCACTTTCAGTGACTCCCCTGTTCAATCTGACAATTATGTGTTAAATAAAGTCAAATTAATTCTAACTTGGGAATATGAGGACCCAACATTATTTCGTGGGGGAGGATGAACCCAGAAAATTTCAAAATCCGGATATCAACTCCGGATCTTCAAAAAAAAGGGGAGGTGTTGTGGATGCGGAAGAATAGACCAATAATTATCATGTTAAGTCCAGTGGTGTCCTTGGACTTTAAATGTACATTCCCTATTGGCTATTATTTAATTCATTCGTTACATATTGCGTAAATGTTGTTTACTATTTTTATGGTACGCTGTGGTATGCTTGACTAGTATATAAACAAAGTATGTTTGAAATATAGTGATTCATATCTCAGAGGGTGTGACTTGTGTTCTGGACTCAACTAACTGGGCTAGACAGGGAAGCGGGACCAATAGAGACTCTAGGCCGTCCGTACGTGTTTTCCGTGTCACTCTCACCGAATCGATCAATAAACGCTGCTTATCAAACCCTGCAGTCTCACAACGTAAATTCATAACAAGCAGCATTCAAATTATCTAGTAAAAACCCACCAGTTCCACTGAAATCTGTCTTCTTTAAACTTTTGTCAACTGTATCTATGGAGAAGCAAAACAATATGCAAGTACACAATAGTGAAAAAGGAGGTTTTAAGTGATTTGTTTTTATTTTTAAAGAAAACCAACGCATACACCAATTTATCTACGATATTGTATGGAAGTTAACATAAGACAATATGATTCAGATTTTTTTTAAAGATTGTTGAATGCTTTATACACGCACAATGGTCCCAGTTATGAGACTATAGAAATATGATATTTAAATAAATATTATATGTCTGGTATGAATGTTATGCAATGATAAATATGACAAACTTAACAGCATATATTATTTGCATGTTTAATTAAACGGAATCGAGAACGGGTGAACGGACTGAGATGAAAAGAAAGAATGTATACTCTTAAAGAATAACTCATTCTTAGTGTGATTTACTCCACTTCAGACTAATATTTAAGCAAATATAATTAACTATAAATACGATTGTACAACTGAAACAAAAATTTTCTCGACTGAATTACCTCTATTATTCTTCAATGATACAGTGGATCAGTTGACATTCTACAGACCGCCAATATAACAAATATAACTTAAACCATTAAACTAAATCTGTCCAATCCTATTTGTAATAAGATTGCACAGATTTAATATATACCAATATGTAGATATACAACTGATAAGTACCATCATACCTTACATAAAACATAGTATTCAACAGTGCAAAAGAATATAAAAGTGGTGGGAAATAATTAAACAGCTGTTAAAATAACCCATAAACCAAGTGATCAGGTTTTGTAACATATACATACACATGTTCCCAATCAACACATTGATGTATAAGAACAATAAATAAAATACAAAACAAAACATAACATAACACAATTGTTTACACTTACTCATTGAAGAATTACAAGAAATAACATTACATCCATTAGTAGAATTATTCATTATTAAACAATGTTTATCACGTCGTCTTTGACGCCATACACATAATACAACTAAACAGATCATAATTAAAAGCATTACACCAGTTAAAGCACCAAAAATTAAGAACATTAGTCGATTTGATTCAGTGGAATTAAATGCAATCACATTTTTAGCATTGTATAATTCACGAGATTTTGATATGGAGCGTAGAGCTGATGAATCGTGTTTATCCAAATCTTCATTTGTAGATAATGAAATCTAAAAAGAATAGAAAAAGAAAAGAGAAAAAATTTTCTTATTGAAAAGTTTCTCATGTAAAAATAAAAATAAATCTATGAACATATGCAGAAAGAAAGTTTCATTACAAAGTGGGAATATTGTTGTCATATATTTAACGATTTATTAATGAATTAACATAAATCATCTAATAATTATTTTTTCTGTATGGTTTTAAGTCATTCGAAATGAGTTGCACTATTGTTACTACTTAAATACATAAATATTGATACAAAGAGGCACCAAATATATATGCGCCACACATCGTCATTCGATTTTTGTGTGAGCTGGAGTACTGTCCGCATGCCCAAACAGAAGCAGATGGTTTGCTTAGACGGCCACTCCTTGAGCCTTTGACCTAGAGTTCTAATGCACAAGGCAGTCAAGCAACGTTAGGTGATGCAGTCTCATGGTAGCCGATGAACAACAATAGGTTCAAACACCATTTGTTACCTCAGGACCCTGGAGCCCATGTGCACCATTGGTTTGGAATCAAGGTTTTCAAACTCACACTATTGCTAAGTATTATTTTCTAATAGTTACGGACTAAGTATTATCTTTCGAAAATCCTATGAATCAGTGAGATGTGAGATGTTGAAAGAAAATATTTATACTTGTATGTGTCTGTATCGTAATTGCGATTATTATCCCTATAATAATATTTATCCATGATGTGACCATATCATGTTAGGTTTACTTGTTCAGAAACCAATCAAATATGATTAATGTAACCGACAGATAGATACATTTGCTAAAGTATACAAACATACGTAACTTTTCTTTCCCATAGGAAACAATATGATACATTAATTGCTAGAACATATAAATGGCATAATGAACGTCAAAGCGATTCGGAAATGAATCGGTTAAAATAGAGTGAGCTTGATCAACCGTCAATCAATGTTGCAGAAATTAAAGTAACAAAAATAAGTATCAATTGGATAAATAATGTCTAGCGGTTGAAACTAACAAGCGCGTTTAGTCCTATTTTAGACTTGCCAACAAGACCCATCTCCATTTCAGTGTTGTTCGTATTAGGATTTAAACCCAATACAGGATATCTAGTACACTTTTGAAGCAACTTAATGTACACTAAAGTGCTTCGATCATATTATGTAAATACATTTATCATTAAGGTTTATGCAGAATTAATTTCCATTTAAATACTATGTATGTAATCCCAACACGAACAAAAACCAATACTAGAAAACATACTGAACGTGGCTTTACAAACACTTCATGACTGAATTGAGTAATTTTTCGTCCATTCAATCCACCTGTGAAGATTGTCGATTGTGGGTCGAATCCAGGAGGTGTATACACGCCGTAAACCACAATTTGATACCCTTTACCTGATTCTAAAGCCTGTAGCTTGTGTTCCTAAAAACATGTGAATAAAGCAAATGGATGAATAACAACAATTAATATTGTAATTGCATCTTTTTATACTTGAGATTAAATGGTTTTGATTCTGTTTGTAATAATGACAAATTTGTTGTGTGTTAATACTGATGACAAGAAAAATCTCTTTTCGCCGACAGATCTCAATATGTTTCAATCTGAGAGCAAGTAAAAGAGAAAAGGGTGAAGATAGTTTGCCCCCAATTTCGAACTGTTTCGACATAGCTGAACGTTTAAAACCTCTTTAAAAGCAAATTGTCACCGTTTTCACGAGAAAGCTTTTTCAGAAGACAGACAAAGACTGAGCTTAACTTAAAAAGGTCAGAAATTCTAATTTCAAACCAGAATAGTTTATATAAAGTCGACGATCCATAAAAGGTTAATGGACATAAGCCTTCTTTGACTACTCACTATTATAAAATCCGTCCATCGACATTGAGCTAGTGCGCCTATTTATGATCTGTAGTTTAAGTGGAACACTCAGGAGCTAACAAACAAACAGCCTACGGTAGGACAAGCCAATTAAGACTTATTTGATCTACAGAACTAATGAAATATATTTATGTCATAAATAAAAAAATAGGAATCTATGAAAACATCATGAACATTAATCACTTGAGCAAAACTATAAACAATAACATGAACATCTCTCATTTAACAATAAATATTTCCCACGAGATTCAAAAACAAAAGAACATTTCCATTTACTGTAGCATTAGATCCATCAACGAAAACTGCTTTAAATCCATTATAAGTGATTCTTCCATTGGCTGAACGTTCTTCTGGACGATAGAGTAGAAGAAAATGATCAATAGGGAATCCAACAGCAGATGTAGCTAATGTCCAACGAGTTAATATTCCACCATCCGACTAGTAAATAAAAAGTAATGTATTTAATAAGAACTATGAGTCGGAAATGACAAGAATCATAATGTTGGAAATTATGGCTCTAATGGAGATAATTTATAGTTTTAACAGTAAGAAAAAGATAATATTCTGTCATTCGGAAAGGTGTAGACATCAAACATAACTGCTAAGTTCAACATAATGGTGGTTAGTTTTACGAATTTATTTATCAACAACTACCAGACTGACTGACATGGTAAGAACATATATAACTCATGTCCAAACAGCATCTATCTTGATGGATAATGTCTGGTATAGCAGTATTTTGAAGGAAAGCTATGAATGGTTAGATCAAAATATTGTGTATATTCATGAAATCATTGGTTCTTTGTCTGATTCAGGCTAGTGGACACAAACTATCTAGTTGAGGTCCACATAGTTATCGTGAAGAGTAGCTGGAAACGTTCGATGACATGGTCCAAATTCGGTCACAGTGGTGCAAATTCACCTAGTCTTTGTCTTTCCTTATATTCGCAGCTTCAAATTTAACACATTTCATTCATTCCTTTTCAATGAATACGCATTATTCCTAATCGTTCTGTACCATCACTGATACTGCTACTTCTATTTAGATATTCTAGGACATCACAATTTCATCCCACTTTGTTGATATGGGGCAGTAGTTTGGACTGAAGCACATTTATGACATGTTCTATTTTTGATTATGATTAACTGATTGATTGATGAAAAGAAATCATTCAACAAAGATTAGTTTTTTTTCAACGGGAAGGATATGTTTTTAATCAAACAAAAAACTAATACTTGAGTAAAGAAATTTAACTTAGCAAAGTAAGGGATTAAATATACAAATATAAAACTTACCAATCGTTCAGTTTCTGTAATGACTGGAGCAACTTTAGAAATATGCTGAAAACTAACAGTTTCAGACCATGGACTCTTATCAACTAACCGATCATCATTATTTATTTGTTTAATAGCATTTATACGAAATTGATAACTTTTACCTGGTACCAATTCACCAGGATGACGATTAGTCAAGTAGAAATGTTTGTTTTTCAAACAACATGCTATGTCATGACTACAACATTCTTCTACCTAGAAAGTAAATGAAGTATAAGGATATAACACTGTGTAAACTGAAAGTACACTTAAGATGTGGTTAATTATACAATACCAATGAAACAAACAAGGTCCCTAAAAATTGCAATAATTTATATTGTTCAAAATACATAAAAAACTGACGTTATGTACACGTTTTGTGAAGTACTTTGAAGAGTTAGCAAGAATATAGATGAATAAAGTCCCTAAATACATTTTCAGTGAGTGGACTTTATGAAGGTATCTTGTATCATGAACTGATATTGGTTAAAAAAAAACTTTAAAAATTAGAGACTAGACAGTTGTTTCTTCTTGTTGTATAAGATATGCCACATACAAAAGCACATCCACTATCTTAGATGAGATTATGGTAACGACATACATATTCCGTGATGAATAATACGTCCTTAGATAACGGAGACAATAATTCTTCCCGAGACATTAGGTCATAATGAAAATTACCAGGGAAATTTGCATCTTTGTATGATTCTAATATTGTAGTTATTCTACACTCACTTTAATAACAGTAAACAGAAAAGTGGTACACATATTGTGAACAAATACTAATTCAAGTGTTACTAGGAAAAAATCGATATTATTTTTAAGAGTGAAAGAAAGAATTGTGTGAAATAAATGCTCTCGGAAGAGGCAGATGATTGCCAATCAACAGTATCATGATTACCACATTTGTCAGGTACAGATTCGTGTACTTAGTGTGGAGTCACATTCTAAGCGTGAGTGCTAGTGATAGAATCCAGCTGCTTATACTGAAATGGGTGGAGAAAAGATGGCAGTCATAACCCCATAGCATACAGAGGATATATCAATTAACCTCGGGAAAATTACATTTTCACACCACGTACATTACTAACATCCTATAAGTAGCCACATAGACACTTACCCCCTCCTATCCATAGAATCATAACTACAATGGATAAAAACATATGTATATAAATAAATAAAAATATACAGATAGACTACTACTAACTGTTTCATCAATTGTTGACCGATCAAATAAGCCATCTGACTCTGGAATATGTGATCTGAGAACAATACGATAAAAATCACAGTTTATTGAATTCCAACTAATTAGTACAGCTAAATTGTCACCAACAGTTGTCGCATTCGGTTTATATAAATGTTCATCTAAGAAAATGAACAGGAGAGAGAGAGGAATTAATACAAAACACAATCAATAAAAATAATTAAAGAATGAAAGTGAAAAAGTGATACGCGTCTAATAAATGAACGCTTAACACTGACTTCTAACTACCTAGTTCCTAACGAATCTTCTAGACTTCAATCTTCAACAAGCGATAAAAAGTCAAAAATATAAAGAGGAAGATCAGTTTAGATAAATAAAACAAGGATATCTATAGATCAATGTATGACTTTGATATTCGGAAAGCTTTGCAAACAAACTAAATTTAGTTCCAAAAATTGTCAATTATCTAATAAACATATGATAAACAAACCATTGTTTATCTAGAACTATTTGAGGGATTTCTTATGATCGCTGATTGAACAAAATGTTTTCAGCCTACTCTCAGTTACAGATGACTTTTTCAATCAATTTTCAAGGGCTACCAACAAAAAGATAAAAAAAATTAAATAACAATAGGTTGAAGTGAACACACACCGGTCGATTTGTAATTATATATATATATATATATATATATATATATATATATATGAAATGACTAATGGCATAAGGACGAACGATTTACTAGCCAACTACTCTTTCCATCCTAATAGGTGCATCAGTCAGTCAGCTACAACGTAGTTACATCGAATGAACTAATCCGTTGAAACATTTTTCAAATAAGTCAAACAAAATTTCAACTGTGAACCAAATTCAATATGTTAGGATTAACAGTATACCACTGATTAATTAGTCGCAAGCAATCAAAGAAAATATCTGAGCTATTGATCATAATGATCAATAATTTAGTTCTTGAATCTACCAGGCATACATCAGATACGCATGTCAGAGATATGTCGAGAATTAGTTATATTATTTAGTGATAAATAAACCGAATATTTATTAAGCTATAATGTCTTTCAACAACATAATTAAAAAAACTAATTGTTTATCTACTCCATATGATATTATTTCATGCATAAATAGAAATCTAAACTATAATTAGCTTATCAGCTCATTTATGGCTGGGACAGCTGATTGTTCTATAAATATGTAGTAAATATAAATCACTACTCAACTGAAATATAATCACGTGAATTAATGATAATACAGACGAAAATGAACCCACTTACATGAACTTCTTGGAAATGATAAATTTAACAAAGGCAGTGAACCGATATGTTCAGAAGATGAAGACCATTCATTAACTCTGTGTTCTTGACTACGACGTGTACGATAAAAAGGATTAGTCACTTGACCATTATGCAACAAACTATCCATCTTGTTAGAGCTTCTGTGATGAAGATTAGTGAATTCATTAGTGGAATAGTTAAATTGTAAATCGTTATTTACTAAAAGATTAGAAGGATAAGAAAAAAATATTGGAACTAATTAAAAAGATTATTGCAAAAACATACTAACCACTTGTATCGAAGTTACAATGATTCTTCTCACTATATACAATTACAAACAAAAAGATATCAATAGAAAATAAATAAAACCAAAATCAGATTCATCATTTAGTTATAGGTCTGTCTTTTCATTTCGTCGGACTTTCACGGTAAAATTGGGATGTATGTGAAGCACAATAAAAAATCAAAGAGAAATTATCCTTCCATTAATCTATCGCTTCATGTTTTATTTAAACAAAAGATTAGGTCTAAGGATGTGCTAACCTGTAAAAAACAGACATTTCTAAATGGATTCAATTTAGAATCATAACAAAATTTAAATATATTGAAGTGTAACAGTGAACCAATAGCCTGGTTTTTGCATGTATAAATGAAATGAATGAAACTATCTGACAGATATGTAAATTATTTAAAATACAATAGTAAATAATAAAAAAAATGAGAAATAACTTACATGAATACGATGAAATAACAGATTCCATAAGTCTGAAATAACGTTCATATATTAACTGTTCACCAAAATATATATTACAACTGTATAAACCAAAATCAGTTGATCTAGTCACATTGATATCAATTATATACGGTGTAGAACATTGTAATTTATGATTTGAAGCATTATTATTATAGTTATTGGTATCATTAATATTACTATTCATTGGTAATAATGAATTTGAGCTGTCAACTTTCAACCATTTTACATGAATCAAATTTAAAAGACATGAAATATTTAAACGTTCAGATAGACTATTACTATTTCCAATGGGTAATAAATTGTGCAGAGTTTTTGTAATATCATCAACAACTTGGTGATATGGATCTAAATTATACTGTGATAAACATGTCAATTGTTTTTATTACCGATTTCCACCTTAAATAAATCAATTTCATGATGACGCAAAGGAAATGTAACTTTTGATAAAGCAGAATTGAATTCATCTAAAAGGAATGAAAACAAAGAAAATAATATTTGGATGGGTATCAAGCTATAAAAGTGTATGTATTGGCTACATAAGAAATCTGGTTAGATATCTAGCAAGCAGAGCAAAAAACATCTACTTAGATGATACTATAAAGGAGTTGAAGTTTTTTAAAGACATACTGACGGAGAACGGCTATCCAAGTTCTTTCAAAGAAGTTTATGTATGCGGAAAATAATAATTTGGAGATATTGACCACTCGTAACAAACCTTTATTCCTAAGATGACAATTTAACGGGTGTGTGGCTAGCGATGATAAAATAGCGACAGTAGTTAATAGGACACTATACGCAACTAATCTTGTGTTGGTATTGTATGGTAAATCAGTGATATCAACTCAAACAAAGAATAAGTTACTTGAGTTGATCCCTTAGATGTCCATCTACAAAATCAGCTGCTCCTGCTGAGACAATCATACTAGCCGTACTATCAGGTAACGAGTAAACATCTTTCAGCTTGGTTTGGCTAAGACCAGACAAAGACAATATACAACGTTAATTTGTCACACTTGGTTGACAATGATCATATGGTAAACAATACTGAATTATTTCGAGCAATCGATCGTACATCTTTGTCATTTTTCCATAGGGTGCGACTACGTATTCGCTTATACGCATTATTCTAATTTTTACAGTGGGAATCTTTAGTAGTTTAAAGTCAATAATTTACGATTTGCTCGATTCATAGTTAGTCTTATCCTGTTGTGTATAACTATTAATTGCATAGAGATAACAGTGACCGACAAAACAACTACAAAATTAGCCTCTTGCAATTCTAGTGCACTAAAATTCTGATCCTTACAAAGAAACACCAAAGTGAGAAAAGGAAAACATCAGGTAACAGATAAAGTAGCCTAACTAATGTGTTTAACAAAGATCTAACCAAAGTCTAAATTCAATGTTAAGATTAACTCAATATGGAATGGATTAGAATATTATCATTTGAAAGTTAACTACACTCTTTTCCCTTTCAAAACGCTCTTCGAAAGTACAACAAAAAATATTTCAGCCAATAATAATTTTAAATAACTCTAAATAAATATTGCCCAGATCCCAAACAATAAGTAACCGATAAGCACTCAATCAGTGTGAAACATTGGTTATGATGATATAAAATAGTGGACGTATTTTTGAATTAAATATATCATCCTGACGATATTCAAATGACACTGAATGATGAAAGAGAAATAATCAGCTTATGATAAAACACAATAGGATGAAGGATAGATTAAATAAACTGGTATTTATTCATTCCTCATAACTTTCTGGATGAAACTCTGTATATCATTCAACCAAATCGAATCTAGGTGCAATGCAACTAAAAACATAAAACACTGATACAATTCTATTGTAGTTTTTCAAAGTATTCTTCAAATAAAACAAAAACAAAGCATACATTCTAAATAAACCTAAGTTATTTCGTTTGGATTCTTATTTCAAATATATTGGCTTAGTACCAATTCTTTATTTTCTTCCCTTTCTAAAAACTGCTAATTTCATTTGGATGACGCATTTCCCTTCTTTTTTTTTTACTTACTGTCTTTACCATATTTATACATAAAAATAATTTTTGCATACACAGTTTTAGAAAAAAACTTAATTAAAACTTTATATGGTGTACAGATAGTAATAATAATAATAATAATAATAATAATAATAATAATAATAATAATGGTAGTAGTAATGGTAATAGTAATAATAATAACAATAATAATAATGATACAAGTGATAATAATAATAATAATGGCGTAATTTAAATGACTTTAAAATGGAATTTACAATAAGCCTGAAATGAAAATAAAAGATGAAATTTATTATCTAGAACAAAATATATTACATTGTAAAACAGTCATTAGAAAAAAAAAACTTTAAAAATTTCACCTCTTGTAAATAATGATTGTTCACGTAAACTAACTGTACTTATTCCATCTATCCATATATTATTGACATCATTTTCAAGAATACACTGATATATACCGACATTTGATAATTGCATTGAATTAATTAACAACGATGTATGGTCTAAAAAGATACAGAAAAAGGAAACAAGAGAGATGAGCGTAGAGAAAAGAACATGATCAAATTTATTTACACAACCGGAAGAACTAGAACAGAAATCTAAAGCGAAAAAAAAAAATAAGACATAGAAAGAGAGACAGGGGGGAAAGAAAAAAACACAAAGATGAAATATTGACTATCTGCAATTTATCTGATTGGACAATCATGGCCGGCGCCGATGTCCATATAATAATGGAATAAAGTAATATCCGCAGAGCACATATATGATATATGATAAAACTCATTAAAATATACAAGAAAATTCAATTTAATCCGACTAAACATAAGGGTTTAAGAGAGATATCAGAATGAGAGGAAAAACGGATGATTTTTATGATTAACCTGTTTTAAGACATGACGTCAGAAATAGATTTTGTTTTAGTCTGAGTGAAAAAAAAAACAATGTTAGTGCAAAATAACAATAAAATGACATCGTTCTCTGTGTTCCTTAATTTATCTCATTTAACTGGTATTACCTAGTGTATGAATGGAACTATTTATGTGACTAGAATACTTTATTGTATGTTGAACAAAAAGGTGATAATTTGTATTAATCGAAAATACATTACAATTATGTTTATATGAGCATAAAAAATGACTGAATTAAAAGATAAGTTGAGATCATTATGATAATAATCACTTTAGACATTTGTGATAAGTTTCTTTTCTGTGATGAGATACTCATGTGATTTTAGTTTAATAGAAGTGTAGTATGACTGATCTGACCGACAGTGAATCAATCATAAATACCACATAGCCTGGTTCAAATATGCAAAAGTTTAAGCCTCATTAAATTACCAAGGGTGATATAGCAAAAGATAAATAGTAGTATCGTTGATAGTGAGAAAGATTGAATATTGGAGACTATGATTCGGAAAGAAAGGTTGAATATGAAGAAAATGTACGGAGTAATATTGAGAATAAACAGCTGAAGGAAGACAAATTGTAAATACTTTTATATTACTGCGTGTTTCTTTTCTTCTAAACACAGTGTTTCTTTAGGACTATTCCAGATCACCTCCTAGACCAATCATGGGAATGAAGCACTTGAGTGCGTTGACCACTTTACGTATTTTGGAAGTCTCTACAACCCTATTCAGTTGGTGTCCCATGAAAGTTCAGCAATTCAAAAAGGTTGTTTGGCTTCTGCAAACTTACATTACGTCTTGTGTAGGCAAAATGTCTATCTGCTAACCAAAAGGTGAATATATCATGCAGAGTTAGCCTCTTTATTATTATATGGCTGTGAAACACATTCTAAGGAGGTAGAAGACATATCTAAGCTGTGAATCTCTATTAACTGAGATGGATGGAATGTGTATTTTCTAACCACCGCCTTGACATCTTGACATACGATGTCAACTGGTATAATAGTAATGTTGAGGGAGTTTTGAGGAAGGTAGACCAAAGTATAAAATTACTTCATAAAGTCACTGACTGTTAATTTGAGCCATCTTGGTAGATGCAGGTACTCACGACAACCAAGATCAGTGGTTTCAGACCCTGCATGGCTAGCACAAAATTATTTATAATGAAGTAGATGTATCCATTCTGTACATAACGTTACGCTTTGAGTTCTATTATTTCTTCACACATACCTGTACATTCTGTGTTTTCAAACCATATTCTCAATGTTTATTTTCTCTCTTTAATATCGCTACTACATTATCGCGATCAATGTTGCAGTTTATCCCGCTATATCTATCCCGTAGTGCTAATGTGATATGGAAACTTAAGCTAACACACATTCATAACAAGTTTTACATTTACTATGAATGACTGATAAGATCTTCCTCTGAAATGTTTTTATTCATTTGACCACATTTAACTTGAAAAAGAGGATCACTAGCATTATTCACCATAACATTCAATTAATTCATTCTTTTACTTTTATTTAATGCAATTTACTGAAATATTTTTATTGCAGTATGATAGATTCTGCTACGTATATTGAATAGTTACTTATCTTAACTTCAGCTTTTTTGAAAATATCTTAACGCTAGTATAATTCAAACTAATCGATAATAGGTGATTCATGGTAATAACAAGTTTGATAATGCAAACTACAGTAGTTGTACCCACGAAGAAGCGCTTATAAAAACCCCAAATCTAGAGAGAGAGAGAAAGAGAATAGTCTGAATGTAGCCGACATAAAAGAGTTGGGTTATCATTATTTCAGTATGATGTAAAATGGATAATCCGGACACTGGAAGTATACAACCAAATAAACACCTTCATATAACATTTTTTAACATTGGAAAACCCATATCAAAAGAAACCATAGAGCGAAACGAAAAAAGACATAACCACATGTAGTGTAGTGGTGTTAGGGTATGTGTAACAGAGTAATAAAAGAAGGAAAACCACCCTTACCGAGATAGTTGAACAAGCAAACTTATAATATACTTGTAAGGAGAAAAAACAGACAACATCCAAAACTAATAGATATTTCAACTGTAGCAAGAATGTAACTCTATACTTATGAACAAATATATTATTATTGTACTAGTAGTGATTGTTAATATTTTTTCATTCGGTAATTGATATTTAGTCAAATGTACATATATCATGTACATAGTACAAGTAAATTCAAAGTTATTTATTCAATCATTCTAATCTGCCCTACTTTCATTCTGCACCACTCTCTCTCTCCCTCCTTAACTTAATTATCATGTTCATTGTCAAAAATCGGTTAAAATAACATGAAATAGTAAAACATGAGATTATAAATTGGTTTTTTAGGAATAAAAAGGAAAAATATTAAAACAAGCAAGAGAACAAGGGAGAGAGAGAACTGAAGAAACAAAAGGGTGATGACGAAACGATGACTATGAATACAATAATACAATAATAATACAACAGGATATTGATATCATAGAATTTTCAGCGTTTTTATCCTCACTTTTTTAAAAAGTTAACTCAGTGGAAAAGAAAAGGGATGAGTAGAAAGGCATGTACAATATAATTTAAGGAACTAAGAAAGGGAAAGCCAAAAGTAAACATGTGAACAAAACATATATACTATCACCATATAGACATGTAAGGTGGCTTATGAATCCTATAGACAACATAAAAGTAGACTGTGAAAAAAAAGATAATTATCAACTGATTGGATTTAATTTAGATCTGGAACTTTACTCTCAATGACCAGCATCAAAACTAATGAAATACAAAGGTTTCGATCGACTATTTACAATTGATACGTTTTTTCAATAACTCCGCCTGTGGTCTCTATAGAGCTACTGCCGGTCCCAAGCCCGGATAAAGGATGAGGGTTAGGCATGGGGTTAGCGACCTCATCCCGTAAAAAACTAATTCACTAAAAAAACGCTAACGTTTTGTCAATAACAATATGTTAGATGGTACATGATAACCACATAAAATAATCTTGAATCTTCTGAAAAATTTTCAACATAATCAATTGCTGACTAACAGTTCTATGAGCGTATACAACCAATGTCAAGAAAATATCTGTAATGTGGAAATCAATATTATTCTTTAATTTAACACTAACCAAACACTCATAAAATATTCCGTTCATATAATTAATTGAATGTTAAGAAATAAGATAACAGACGAGATTTATTTAATAACTTTTTTTCAAAAACCATATATATATATATATATATATATATATATATATACTTACATGGATTTATAGACACTGCAAATTGAACAGGAATTCCGTTGAAATACCAAGTCGGTGTTATATCAATTATAGAACTTATACATGATAAATTAACATAATCTCCTATATTCGCTTTAATATTCTGTGGATAAACGATTAATTGAGGTGAAGCTGAAATAACAATAATAAGTTTAAAAGAAGAAAAAAAGAAAGAAACAATAATACATATATTTGTAGATATCACATTAAACACAAAATTGTATTAGGAAAATGAGAAAGCCAACAAATTTTAACAGAAAGATATAATCAAGGGGAAAATGTATGATATAAGAGTATGTATCAAGGAATAATTTTTGATGAAACGAAATGGAATTTAAAAATAATAATAATAATAAAAACTTGTAGGTAACATTTATGATAAAATACATATTTTTAGTATAATTCAGTAGTAAATTGAGCTAATAGATTATTTTTTTCATTATGTTTCTGTTATAATGTGAAAATGATGCTGCTGATTAAGGGTAGCGAATTATTACTATATGCAACACCGTATTCGTGACTTAGAAACAACTGAACAAACATTAAATGAATCACTTGGTGTTATTTTATGTTTGTGAAATAATACTTTAAACTGCGAGAAGGAAATATAAGTCAAAACTACTCGATCGTGTCCTTTATCAATACCAAATATGAGACGTTACATAATTAACGTGGATCAGTTGATGAGATGATAAACAATCATTAGATTAGCTGATTGTTTTATTTAAATCCAATGACGGTTTACCACAAAATGATATCTCGAGTGATACAAAAATGATTTGAAAAAAAATCCGAGAATGCTCAAATTACAAATTGACACTAAATTATGGAGTCGGTACTTCGAGATACGTACAAAAGTACATGATTCCTAGCCAAATCATTAGGTACTATCATAATCGACAAAAGAAAATTACATTTCGTTACTGGACATTAATCATAATATTTCCTGGAATCATCTACGGTTTGTTGTTATGATTTTAATATTGAACAATTTATTATTCTAATTCGTAAGGAATTGAGTTGTTATTCCTGATTGAATTTTAGTTGGTCTTGGTTAGCATAAGAGCATCATGGGCGAATTGGCTCGAGAAAGTCATTTTATCACAAGTTTTATAGATGGATTGTAGCTAACAGTGACATTGAGCAAAACAGTAAGATAACTCAAATTTTTACAAATTAAATTAAATGCATACCCGTAGCACAAGTAGGTAGCCTAAACTTAATTATTTCACTATATTTTGATGCTTGTTTATTCAAATCAAAATAAACTTAACATAAACAAGAAAAGATGGAATGTGGCTAGCATTGGAATCTAAGGCGTGTGTTTTGTTATGTGTGGAACTCACCAGCCGAAGGTACCTGTACGTCAGAGTTCATCTTCACACCGATAATTGAAGCCAATACCTTACGTTCACACACCCAACGCATTATCTGCTTAGCCACTAAATGCAGATAGTTACTCACTTTAGAAATAGGTATGAATGTTAATTCCATTTATAAAGGTTTTTGAATTATCCAAGGAAAAAAAACCGGACTAATCAGTTTTCTGAGGATTTATATTTACTATGGGAATGTTTCATTTCATTGCTTAGCTGACAGCTTGATTACACATTTTACATGCATTGATTTCAGATTTGTGAAAACAAATGTTAGGCATATTTATGTATATTTCTTAAAATGCTTAACTTACGAAGAACCTTTAGATAGGCATAAGAAGTAATATTGTTAGCTGTACAAAAGTACAATCCTTCATCATTCTTCGCCAAATTATATATATCTAAAACGCCTAGAAGAAAGAAAAAACGTGCGGTAAATCGATTACTCGTCGATTAGACAGTAGTCTATTTTTTAAAAATATGCACCAAATTTTTCTCAACATTTGGACTTACCAAATAAAGAGTCGAACTTTTGATTTCCATTAGATACACCGATAACTCGACTCACATTAGCCACATATGGTTGTGGAGAACTGAATACGCAAGGTAATGTTATATTCTGACTTTCATAAGCAGTTATTTTTATTGGTTTCCTAATGTCATTGACCGTATCAATATCCAATAGACTACCATCCAAATTCATGCATAAAACATTTTTTAATGAAGGATTGGAAGAGACTAAAATAAAATTAGATAAAATAGCTTATGTGAATTTTGAGATTAAATAAATAATTACACATGAACGAATTAACTTATTCAACGTAGAACCGTTCGAAAAAAACAAGCACAAAAACTGTGAACAGTCATAAAAATTATGCTAACACAGATATAAGAAATAAACAATTCCACTATTTATTAGCATACATTAACAAGTTAGTCATGATTAACTTAGAGTCGGACATACACGTACACCGGCCCAAATTCCCATAGCACATGAGACAAGAAGAAAACTGATCGAAATATACAAAATCGCTGTAATTTCCCATAATACATATTTAAGCATCCCAGAGACAGTATTTGTATATATAATTTCCCTCTACTCAAAATTTACTACATGCACTACCTTAACCATTAAATATAACCTGATGTCTGTGATTTCAACCGGTTACTTTTTACTGTTTTAAACCGCATTATCTAGTTTCATAAATTACAACTGTGTTTGACATTTGATTAATTTAAGAAAATCTTTAAAACAATATTTCTTACACTAACTAGATTATTATATGATTTTGCAGTTTGTTGAATTGAATCTTTGATACTTTATGTAATTAACATCCAAGCAATTATTCATCTTCATTAAATATCACTTTCTATGGATAAATAAAATCTTTATAAATGCTAATACCTAATTAACACAGAAAAATAATAGATTAGTATTATAAAATACATGTAGGTGAAAAATGCTATGATAATGTACTCGTCTAAGAAGAGAACTATAAGTTTAATAATGTGCTGATTATTTAAAAAAAACTAATATATCAGGACTGAACTATATCGAAAAAAAATTGACTGAAAATGAATACATAGACAAATATATCATGAATTCCTAATTCAACAGTTAACTATTTGTAAAATCCTTTATTGGAGAAAGGTTTACAGAGAAAAAAAGTTAATACTGAAATGATCCTAACAAGAGTAAAACTTTAACATATATAATACTTTAATTAAGTATAGAGAGTGCTTGATTGAGGCCTATGAAATAACCGTAATCTATATGCACATGGTATTGTTTTACTTGAATCTTTCCATTGATGGTTTAGGACTGAAATTGATCAGTCTCTTATTGGCATATGTGCATACTGTGCGTATGCCTCGATATTACCTTAATTTACAAGCATTATAAGCAAAGATGGGTATTTGCTAGCAGTGGAATTCAGGATGTGCGTTTCGTCCTGTTTGGGACTCGTCAGATGGATGTACCTGCATCTCAGAGTTGATGTTCACTCTGGGAGTCGAACTCAGCTTCAAACGCCATCGCGTTATCCACTTAGCTAGTTAGTCCTGATAGCCACTTACTAAGTGGAAAGGTACTGGGTCCGAGTCCCAATGTGAGCATCAACTCTGAGTTGCAGGTACATCCAGCTGACGAGTCCCAAACAGGACGAAACGCGCGTCCTGGATTCCACTGCTAGCCATTATCCATCTTTGCTCGTAATCTATATTGTTGAAGATTTGGAATAAAATGGTTCAAAGTCGTTGTAAGATTAACTTATATACTGCTTCCTTCTAAATTTGGGATTTAAAGTTATTTTATACATTTTATTCAGAATTTTTTAACTATATGGTGATATGAATTCACTTGATATCGTTTAGTTGAATCTTCCGATTGATGTTTAGGACTGCAATTGATAAGTCTTTATTGGCATATGTACATACTGTTTTAAATAAGACGAAACGAGTGTCCTGAATTCCACTGCTAGCCACTATCTATCTTTGTTTATAATGCTTGTGAATTAAGGCAATATCGAGGCAATAAGCACAATATGCACACATGCCAATAAGAGAATGATCAATTGCAGTCCTAAACATCAATCGGAAGATTCAAGTAAACAATACCAAGTGAATTTAAACTTTACCCGATTCCACAAGCAAGTGGCTATCGGGAATCAGTAGCTAAGTGGATAACGCGATGGTGTTTGAAGTGAACAGTACTGGGTCCGATTCCCAGAGTGAGCATCAACTCTGAGGTGCAGGTACACCCAGCTGACGAGTCCAAAATAGGACGAAATGCGAGTCCACTGCAAGCCATTACCCAACTTTGCTTATATGGTAATATGATTTGAAAAGTATGAATAAAACGCCACAAATGTCCTAGTATGATCAAGCGTGTGGAGTCCCATCTCCCCTTCGAAATGCTCTTATATACCCACTGACAGAGTATAGAAGATCGGCCTAGGGGAGCTGAAAAATCCTGATTCTAAACTAATGGTGCACACTGGCCCCAAGATCCTAAGGGAACAAATGGCATATGAAATAATTCTTAGTCACTGGTTACCACGAGTGTGTTTCCCCTAACGATGCTCTACAGCCTTGGAGATTGGACTTATAGGTCAAAGGGCAAAGGAGTGGTTCCCTTTGTATTAAATAGAAGTATAAATTAATATACTAGATACAGAAGTATCTCAATTGATTTGGACAAAGCAAACAATTTTTGAGGACAAATTGATGACAATCCCTACATAAATAAACAAATATACAGTAAGATTGTTTTTATACAATATAATTCTGTGTAATATGATTTATAAAAACGTAGTCAGCATAAAAATAAGGAAACAAATTAGAACAGCTGATAAAATTATAAACTTAACTCTACCGAAACGAATAGAATAAATGTTTTAAAGCTATTACTGAGAAATAATCCGAGCTATTTTAAAAAATTAAAATTGAAATGCAGGAATTGAAACGCAGCATTGGAAGAAATTATCAATTATCAGAAGGGGTTTGTGAAGATTTTAGAAATTTCACAGTTTGAAATCATGAGTCAATTGAAACTAGACCACCATGGAAAACTTGGGAGGACTGGACGGCCGTTTCGTCCTAGTATGGGACTCCTCAGCAGTGCGCATCCACGATCCTGCACCCCGCGAGATCCGAACCCAGGACCTATCAGTCTCGCACCCGAACGCTTAGCCAACTAGACCACTGAGTCGGCATTCAATGGTGTTAATGTCTAACTTCGACCGATCCACGAAGTTGCTCTACCGTATACCATTGTCTTCAGTGAGCTGATATCTCACAACAGATCTGGTTGAACTCCACTGGTAACGGCTTCTCACTAGAACTCCAGGAGTATCTCTTGAAGTCAGTCACTAGTCAACTGTATAAATTAATGACTTAATCCCAATGTTAAAAATTATTTTGTCATAAATAATAAACACTATAATATAATAGTAAAACTTTTTTAATTTTGCTTAGTGTGATAAAAGAATAATAACGAAGACAAGTGATCAAAACCTTGAAAGAACTAACAATATTCAATGATGTATTCTTTTAAAAACGAAGTTGAATTATAAAAATATTAATTTAGCAAATGTAATACCAAAAAAATCTTCAAAACTAAAACCAGTAGTAACTTAAATTTCTTCAACAATCATTTAATTTTGATGTAGATAATTCAAAAGCATCGGTCAATTAACCGCATAATAATTATTCCCTAAAGTGAATTACTATTTCATTGAACGATCATCTTCTGTTCTTTTTCTTACTTTCTTTGTACATAATGAGTTAGTTCTAATAGAATTTATATTGTGATATCATAGTCAAATTATAATATTTACCTAAAACAGTATGTATTACTTTAAAACTATCTTTTCTTTTCTTTTCCTAACTAAACAACTACTTTTGACCACCCAACTGTGTATATAGTCAATATAAGTGATTTAAAACATAAAACAAGGGGGGGGAAATACAGAAATGAAACGAAAGAGAGGAAAACATGAAAAAGTTTCCGCACAAAACAAAATAGGCAAACAAAAAAAGAACAATATAGTTATAATAGTAATAATAATAATCTTTTTAACTTAAGAAAATAGAGATAACTATTTATTTTGTCCAATAAAAAGTTAAGCAAATACTTAGATTCTAGAATGTTATAACGATCTATAAAATATGATAAATTAAAAACACATTTTCTAACAATTTCGAAATTATTATTATTATGGGTGTTATTGATGGCGACGGGTTAACAATTAACAAGCTCCGAAAATTCGTTTCTCCTTCACACAAAGATATGCATCTTAGATAAAAACACAATTGTTTTTTCTCATACTAGAGAAAAAAAAATACAAAACACATAGACTCGTAGAATTTTGTAATTTATTTCAATATATATTCATGAAAAACTATAGTAAAACAAGTCTGTATGAAAGTGAACTACATAATCATTTTCATAGTATTTCTCTTTAAAATAATCAAAATGTGAATCGAATATAAGAAACAAGTAGAAGCGGAGAAATGAGGAAAGACAAAAAAACAAACAAGAACATATAGTTAATTTCCAATAAGAATGATTGTAACAGAATATGTACATTCATTTATTACGTGGATTCTATTCAGCCGCTAATATCCTGCAAACGATTGTATCAGTCATTAAAAATATAGCATCTATGCATACCTACGTTAGAGAACTCTTGAGTACATTTTAAGATGCTATGGAAATGTAGATTAGTAACATAAAATAATTAAGGAAAAATTTAAAAGAATCTTTTAAATACATGAATATTCTAGATGAGAAGACGCAGTGGAGAGTACGGAAATTGGAATAAAGAAATGGGAGATTAGTATCAATTTATGTTATATGTATCTACTAATTTACATCTACATGCCAAAGCACATGGATTAGTAGAATAGTAAAATTTAGTGTCCGCATTTTTGATTAAATTTTATAAAAGTTAAGACTAAAATGGACAGAGCTCTGTTTGTCTTTACCGAGTGTCTGAATGGGAACTTTGTTGAATACGTTGTTGTCAAAAGATGCACCTATCATTGATATTGCTTTGCTCTGGTGACCTTAGTATGAAAAGTGGGTTACGTAACACTTTTCACACGACCTTCACTATACATTCCTACTGATTGTTTCTAAACTGGACTTTTTTGAAGTGCTATGAAGACTATGATACAGTTCATACATTTCTAAAGATTCTATACCTATATTTTCTGTTTTTTTCTCCTAGGATATT